ATTTCCTAAGTTTGGTCATGTCTGCAAAATGGATTGCAACATCATTTGCTTTTCATGTTGTAGAGAGGAAAAGATCATTGTACTGTTCGAAAAAAAATGAAACAATCATGGCTGATTTCAGGAAATTTTTTCTTGATTTTGGCTGAGTAAATATCTGAAACCATTAATACATCAAACTTTACGTCAAGGTTACAAATTATTCTTTAAGTATCTTGGATGTTATCATGAGAATGTTAGTAGAGAAGTGTATAGACACACACACACACACACATATATGTAACATAACATACATGCATATATGTATATCTCAATCTTCATCTCTTGATAGAGTTGTGGGAATATACATACGTAGATACAGAGATTTGAGATAAATATCTCTAGTCTGTCAATGTATCTACTAGATATCTCTAACTTTATCTATCTTTCTATCATCTATCTTTTTTCTATCTTTTTATCTTTTTCTGTCTATCTGTCTGTCTGTCTGTCTATCTATCTATTTATCATGTCCCAAAGTCTTAGTGCAGTTTTAAGCCTTAATAGCTATCAGTTGACTTCTTTGATAATTCATTGCATCCGTGATCTCATCTATATAGGTACTACCTTCAATGATACAGATCTCAGCCAATGCCTTGGCTATCCATCCTGTGCAAGTCTTTTCTATGTCCTCCCAAGAGTATACCACAGAGGGTTCATTGATAATCCTGGTGGGTTTACTCTAGGTATTATGACATTACATAGATTCCTGTTGTGTGTGTAGACAGTTCACAGATTACCCTTTCCTCTCTATACAATATGGCATAGTAGATTGGTAGCTGGCCTTAGATTCAGGGATACTTGGGTTCAGGCCCTGCCTCTGATACTACTGGCTGTGGGTCCCTGGGCAAGTCAGATAGGTGGATAGTTGTCTAATGCTGTAAGTCACAGAGAAGGCATTGACCTGCCTTGAGAGAAGAAGGTGCCTCATATAGGAGATATAGGAGTCATGACTGGGAAAGTCATCATGACTCCATTTTTAGACAAGGAGACTGAGACTCAAGTGAGAAGTGACTTATTCAGGGTCCCAAAAGGTGGTAAGTAGTAGAGCTCAGGGCTCCTGAATCCAAGTTCAGTGCTCATTCCACCAATCCAAGACATGAAGGAAGAGGGAGGAAGATCACTTTAAAGGAAAGAATCTGTTAATGATTTCAAATAGAAATCAATCAATAATTAACAAGCAATTATTAAGTAATTATCATGTGCCAGGTATCTTGTTAATTGCTGGAGATACAAAAGCAAAAGTTGTCTTTGAGATCTTCACAGTCTAGCCAGGGGAGATGTGTGTACACAGGAATATACAAAGTAGATACAAGTTGATTGGCAGGGTGAGCAGGTGATAGGAGGCAAGAGGTATAAGCAGCTGAAGGGTGGGGCACAGAGCAGTAAAGGCTTCATGTAGAACATAGCAGTTGAGCTGAGCCTTGAAGGAAACTGGGGATCCTCCCAGATGGATGTGAGGAAGAAGCACTTTAAGGCATGTGGCAAAACTGGTTCAAAGGTGCAGAGGTGGGAAATGAGATGGTATGTATGAAGGACAGTAAGAAGGGCAGTTTGGCTGTCTCATGGACAGTATGGAAGGGGTATGTAATTTGTAATAAGACTGGAAAGGAGGTGTTTGAATTAATCTGGTACAGGGTGAAGAAGTATTTGTATAAATTTAGAAAATGTATTTATGCTAAGTAAAAGAAGACCAAAACAGCAACTGTGCTTTTGATGTATGGGTTATACCCCATGTAGCAGTTACCTCACAGGGCTGTTGTGAAGCTTAACATGTATAGATAAGACTTTGCAAGCCTTCAAGTATTATAGTAGGGCTGGTTTTTCTCACCACCACCATCACCACCACCACCATCATCATCATCATCGTTGTCATCATCATCAACACATGTTTCTTTAGGTAGGTCATTGGCCTTGTCCAAATACAGAATAGAAAAAAAAACATTAAAAATGTTATCCAAAACAACTAAAATATCTACACTTTTTGATGAAGGTCTACTGACAAGGCAAATACAAAATTATTCCCACATCTGTGATAAGCAGAATAAATAAACCATGGAACCCATGAGGAGGGCCTTGTGAGACAGACATTTGGGCTTTGAGGATTTGGCTTTGATAACTTACAAAGGCAAAGAAAGTGAATGGAACTCATTCCCACTTGGACAGGCATTTATTTATCCTGATTATTTAAAGCCAGAGCCAACAACATTAATACTATTTGAATGGCTTCACATGTTTCTCCCTGTCTGGGAAGAGCCCATCCCAAAATGGGCTTGTTTTTTGCAAAATTGGCAGCAGCATGGATGTCTTCACAGATCAAAATAAATGGAGTATCTTTTGGAAAGTTTAGGGAAACTTATCTTTTCTCTCTATAATTTAGAAGTATTGGAAACCAAAGAGTTAAATCTCCAGTGAGAACAATCATTTATTCTTAAAAATTCTGCTTTATTGGGGACTAATTACATAAAAGTTTCAATGTTTTGGTAAGTAGTCATATAACATAATTTCTCCCCTCACCCCAGATTTTAACTTTAAAACGCATTAATGCCACATTAGTCCTTTAGCTGGCATTATTTTCTGCCTGAAAAAAGAGAAAGTACTGCTGGTCCTTCCCATACTAATTAAATTCATTTTAATATGAATATTTATTTTAGGTCAAAATGATTATTTTTCTAATTGATTTGGAAGAGAAAATGGTTTTCATGTCCATGAAAGAAACTACTACTTCTATAATTTATTCATTATTCATTCATTCAGTAGATGCTTACTAAGATTCTGCTGTATGTAGAACATTGTGCTAGGTACTGGAAGTTTAGATAAAGTGAGATGCCTGCCCCCAGGGAGCTAATGGTCTAATAAGCTTCATAAGAACATTAAACTAGATCACCTTTGAAGCCATTTCCAGTTCTGAGATTCTGTGGTTTTCTGATGATGGAGCCTGTGGCCTAGAGCTAAAACTTTGGGTGCAAATGGATTGGATTTCATCTTAGATGACTCTCACAAATCACTCTTTTCTTTGTGCCCCAACCCTGGGTTTCCTCTGGCAACATAAGAATTTGTCTTAGGTGTAGATCTCTATAGAGAAAGAAAAGGTCCCTTAGCTATCAGACAACCACTCCAGCTAACAAGATAGATTATGGGGCAGACTTTATGTCACCCAGTGGAAAGCTTGTAAATAATCAAAACCACTCTCCTTTCCTCTCTAGTGAGCTTTAGACTCTCCCAGGGACCTAGCTTATTTTCCAGACATAGTATTGTCCTGAAGTTGAGCCTCTGTTGCAATAGAAAAGCATTTGAGGTTGCCAGGATGACAAACAACCCCCTTCTTTCAGTGAACCCCACTTTCTCTAGGAACCGCTACCATCCATACAGTCCTCTAGATGTGGTGTACCACTGTAGAATTGACGCAAAGGAAGAGCACTTAGGGTTTCTAAGAAGGCAACATTCTTTCCTTGCGTACAACCTGCTCACCTGTTTGAGAATGAATGAATAAATTAATTAATGGAAAAGCAGTTCTTATGTGCCAAGCACTATGCTACAAATCCACAGGCAAAGACAGTCTCTGCCTTATATTCTAATGGGGATGACAACAGACATAGAAGAGTAGTGGCCAGGGAGCCCCTTTGATTCGGAAAAGTATAAGCGTGGTGTGTGAGGCCATATGGAAATAGAAAAAGGTAAGGGCAAAGTTTAGATCTACTCCCTCACGTTGTGGCTCTAGCTCTGAGAGCATCTTTGCACTTTTCCACTTTTGCTCAATTGATGCCATTTCAGGAGACAAGAAGCTCCTTTGAGTCTCCCACAGGGGACCCAAGTCCTACAGAGTGTGTAGTTTTCCTCTTCTCTGTACTCCTCTGTAAGCACTCTCCTCTCTCTCTCTCTCTCTCTCTCTCTCTCTCTCTCTCTCTCTCTCTCTCTCTCTCTCTCTCTCTCTCTCTCTCTCTCTTTCTTTCTCTGGGCTGCCACCTTCTTTATAGAGGTCAAATCCAAAATCAAGTCCAAAGTTCAAAAGATGTCAGCTGGGCAATGAGTATCCATGAACTTCATGGCAAGTTAGGGTAAACTCAAGGATACCCAGAAGGACAGTTTGTAAAGAGTTAACCTTTTCAAGGGAATTTCACACCTTCCTAAGGAGCCATCTTCAAGGGCAAAACAAAACTCTCAGCAGTGAACCACAAGGACTTTTCTCCTTCTAGAAGGGATTTCATACCTACCTCTGACACACTCTCTATGTTATAAGTGAGCAATGGGAATCTCACTCACTTAACTCAACAATTATAATTAAATTAAGGCCAGTCATTGGCATTACCACCATCTGGACCATTGAATGTTATTGATTATCTCTGTCTTTCTCTCCTTTCCCTCTCCCTTTCCTTTTTCTCTCCCTCTACTCCCCTCCTTCTCTCTCTCTCTCTCTCTCTCTCTCTCTCTCTCTCTCTTCTCTCTCTCTCTCTCTCTCTCTCTCTCTCTCTCTCTCTCTCTCTCTCTCTCTCTCTCTCTCTCTCTCTCCCTCTCCATCCCTATGTCTGTCTCTCTGTCTCCCCCTCTCCTTTTCCACCTCCTTCTCCTTCTGCCTTATCATAAAAAATGTAGGGGCAGGGATGGACAATACCTTAATTTTCTTTCCCCAATATGCTTTTTACATTTAGACAGCCAGAATCCCAGCTCCTTGAATCCCATGTAGAAGCATCATCCCTTACCATAAAAGACCAACTTTCTTCTGTGCAAGCCAGTTAAAGAGAACAGAAAGGGAGTCTTAAGATCTGGTTTTGAACCCCAGTTCTGCCACCCATTACCTGTATGCCCTTGGACCTTACCTACCTGGATCTCAGTTTCCTTTTCTGAAAAATAATGGGATTGGGTTAAATGAAATCTAAGGTCCCTCTGAACATGTCAATCCTCAAGGCCAATAAGAGAGTTTTGAAATGGAAATGTTTCCTAACATGCTCTGTCCTTTTGTCTTGTAGGTTATCATGGCCTTTATTGTGAAGAGGAAGACAATGAATGCCTTTCCGCCCCTTGCCAGAATGGGGCCACTTGCAGGGATCTTGTGAACAGCTACGAGTGTGTGTGCCTCCCAGAATATAAAGGTAAGGATCAACTTGGCGGTTGTGGCCTGGGGTGAGGATGAGTCGGTTCATATTCTTTCCAAGAGGACAGGTATTGCTCTATCCTACTAAGGAATGCAAAGAGGAAGCTGTGTTGTCATGGAAACATTCCCCAGACTGAGAGGGTCTGTGACTAACTTACTCAATGGCCTTGGGCAAGTAGCTTGACTTATTAAGTGGCTTCTAAGCTCCCTTCTAACTCTGATGCTGCATGATTTGGTTCAGTGGTAGAGATCCGCTGGATATGGAATCAAAAGGCCTAGTTTGAATCCTGGCTTGCCTGCTGGAGTAAATCATTCCCCCTTATCTTAACCTCAGTTTCCTTATCTACCGAATGAGAGATTGGATTAAATGATCCCTTCAAACTCCAAATCCATGATCTGGAACTTTTATGTTTCTTCCTCTTTATCCTCAGCATGTTGATTTTCATTTGGGATTTGGTTTGGACCTGTGATTTCATCGATACTCCTGGCGAGGAAATCCTCTCCATTAGTAGAGATCCTTGAACTCTCTGTAAGTAACTGTCTTACAGTGGAGCTTGGAACATTGACTCAATCGGGGTCCCAAGTCCCAGTGTTAGAAACCTCCTAACTGAAGGCCTTCCTTTCACCAGACACAGAGTAGGGACTAAATAAAGGTCTGTTGACATTGCTGAAATTTAAGAGAGTCCACAGTGTCAGTACTGGTGGTACCACTTACAATTGAGATGTCTGGTAACCATGGTGACCAGTTAGCATTAGTAAAGCCAGTGGTCCAGCATGAAGAAGACTTGCCTCTGACAGAGCCAGTGCCATCTCTGATCACTGCTTGCTAGATGGGATTGTCTGTTGGTTATTGTGAAGCTTGCTAAATGCCAGTGAGAATGCTTATTGGCTGTGTGAGTTAATGAGGCAGTTAGGTAGTGCAATGGTTAGAGGCTGGAGTCAGGAAGACCTGAGTTCAAATTGGGCCTCAGACACTGTGTGATGTCGGGCAAGCCACTTCATCTCTGTCTGCCTCAGTTTCCTCAGCTGTAAAATGGAGATGATAATAATAGCACTTACCTTCCAGGGTTTGAATGAGGCTTGAAAGAGATAATAGTGGCATAGTAGGTGCTTAATAGGGCAGGTGAATGGCTCAGTGGATAGAGTGCCAGGCCTAAAGTCAGAAAGACTCATCTTCCTGAGTTCAAATCCAGCCTCAGACACTTACTAGTTGTGTGACCCTGGGCAAGTCATTTCACCCTGTTTGCCTCAGTTGCCTCATCTGCAAAATAAACTGGAGAAAGAAATGGCAAACCATTCCAGTATCTTTGCCAAGAAACCCCCCAAAGGGGTCAAACAGGATGAAACAACTGAATAACAGCAAAAACGTGCTTAGTAGATACTCACTGAATGATTGATAGTTGGGGAAGGGTAGAAGTAGCTTTTCACAGATTTTCTTTGTGGATTTTTTGTTTTACCAATCCACATCTCAAATCCTATAATTATGGCTCTAAATGGGGATCTCAGAGGTTCTCTAATCCAGTCACACCTTCCCCCTTAATATTACAAATGAGGAACTGGAACGTCGTCTAGGGGAAGTGACTTACCCAGCATCACACAGTTCTCTGTGTGAACAGCTGACAGAGCTGGAACTTCTAACTTCCCAGATTCCATGCAGCCCCATGTGCTCTGGCCATCATTTATCCAAACTTGTCCAGCGTAGTGGAGCTGTGTTGCAACAAATAGTATTTCCAGGCCAATGGACCAGCGGTGGCCTGGCTCTTGTTAACAATCCTTACGTGGGGTTTCAGGCAGTGTTCATGATTCTGCCCATGACAGCCCCATACCTTGACCAAATTGGAGGAAAATAGCCATCATGACTCTGTAGACCTGAGTTGGGTCTAGGTGCTGAAGACCCATTCATGCTTCTCTCTGTTGGCTTCCCAAAGGGAAGACTCACACTGATGCTAGATTTCTTCTTCTGGCTTATCATTTATATCCAATCCCTGGCTCATAGGAGGCACTTAATAAATGTTTGATGATTGGCAACCTATCTATCAATGCATTATAGAAAAAGATGGCACGTAAAAGTAGAAAGAGCAATAGCTGTATGAGCCAGACCTGGGACCTGGTCCCCAGTGTGTCACTGACTAGCTGTGGTTGAGTCACTTTACCTCAGTTTCTTCATCTGTTAAATGGGTGTAATAGCACCTGCCTCATGTAATTAACAGGGTTGTTGTCAGGATCAAATGAAGTGAAAATTCTTTGAAAAACATAAATGTAACTTCTCTTATTTGTAACCATCTCATGGGGTCTCTTTTATGAGTTCATTAGGCAAACACATGAGCTGCTTAACACAGATTAATTAAAACCACTAGAATGACTTCATAAGATATAACTATTATGAGTTTCCACTATAGTTTAAGAAACTGGGAATTTAGTAATTAAAGTATAGAGGAACCATCTAAGAAGTAGGCATTTTAGTAATAAATACATGAAGTATTAAATCCCAGTATCTCCTTTGAGGACTGCTGCATTAGACCCTGATATATCTTCAAGAGAGATTAGTGGGTTGTAATCTTTTATTGTTAAAGATTAGGCACAGTTCACAGTTGGACTAACTTCTTTCTTCTAGCATAGCAAGTTCTATGACCAAAAAAGTACGCAATTGAAAAGGAAAATATTTTTCTATGGGCTGAAAGTTTCACATACTGGATTCTCCTTTATCAGTCATTCAACATGTAATTATTGATCACTTAACTGCTAGGCACTGTGGGGACCACAAAAGACACATAAATATGTAATCCTTGCCCTCAGGGAATCTACAATCTAGTTTGGCACAGAAAACTATGACACATGAAACATGATTAAGTATCAATGTGTGTGGTATAAATGTAATTAGAACTCAGAGAAAGATCTGAATAAATAACAGAAGGCTCCCTAGGAAGAATGATGACAGAGGCAATACCAAGTTTGATTTATTTACCTGGAGTATTTTATCTAGAGATTAATTCACGTGGTTTGCCTAACACACACACACACACACACACACACCACACACACATACCCTGACCCCACCCTCCCCCCATGCAAAGTAATCATCACATCTATATTGTAGTAGTGAGAACAACTTTTAACTTATACTCTACTCTGATTCGTCCTAAATTTAACTCTAAATTAACTTATGTAAGTAGTTCTGGGGAATGGCAATATTTTAAGAAACATTGCTTCTATCTACCCTTTAATATGAAAACTGGGGATTTGTGTTTGTTTTGACTGAATTGCAATTTGTTTTTGCTTGAGGCTAAATATAAATTTCATACTAGCACGTACTGTGTTCATTGCCAGTGAATGATGACTGTATCATTCCACAGACTGTCTGAAGTATGGACCTGGTTTTCCCTGACAAAATGTTGTGTTTTTGAGATAGATTTGGAATGACTCCTTATTACTGGCCGAGCTACCTGTGTGTCTGCCAAAGTACATTGGGTGTTTCCTCTCCTTTAGGGACAAGAGGCCAGTTTTATGTACCTGATTTCAATGGAAGCTCCCTTTTGGCCAATGACATTTTGTCCATTTCTGTTCTGAAGCTGGCAGCCCATTATGTATTACCAATGATAACTTGCATGTGAGAGAGGCCATAAAAGTCATCTCTGAAGACATATACTTGGAAAAAGAGATAGGCTGGTCAAATGAAAAGATGGACAACTTGAGTCTACTGGTATCCAAGAAATATTTACAGAACCAGGAAGACCAAGGTGATGGGAAGGTACCCTATGAGGGACTTGGAGGACTGTAGCTGGAAGGGGCCTCAGAGGCTACCTAAAAGAGCCATCTCATTTTATAGATGAGGAATCTGTGGTCCAGTGGCATGAAGTGATTTGCTCATGGTCATACGGGTAATCAGCATTGGGGATAGGATTGGAACCTTCATTCTTTGGCTACTAGATGAGTAGTTTTCCACTGTACCTGCCCCCTTCCCTCAATGTCATTGAAAGATAAGGACAGAAATTGCAGGAGAAAATGGGGTGAGTTCATAATCTGCTTTAGTAGAAATAATATCCGTGTTGAAGAAATGCTTTTCATGCACCCACATCCCATTGGGGTCATGTGAAGAAGAAGGAGGTTTGACAGACACCTGCCCTGAGCAAACCAGTGCGTTAGCAATAACTAGGGGGCAAGGACTCCAAGCAGCTGCAATAAAAGGACCATAGCCTTGGTGAAACAGATTGAGTTGGGCAAATGGTGTACTCACTGGGACTTCCTCCATTTTGGCTTCCTAATCTTTTGTGGAACCCATATTAGAATAAAAATATCCTCTATAGCCTTGTGGTGTGCGGGGAATTTATGTCCTAAATTCCATCTCTGTCTGTAATTACTTGTGTGACCTTGGGCAAGTCATTTCATCTCTGGGACTTAGTTTCCTCATCAGTAAAGTGGGGGAGTTGGACTAGGTGAGCTCTTAGGTCCCATTCAGCTCTAAACATTTGTTTAAAGTCACCTTCACCTCCAGGGAAGGGGAACCCATTCCATTTGGGGATGACTCTTAGAATCATAGAAGTAGAGCCAGCAGGGACCTATTAGAAAGACCTGATTTTGTCTCTTTGCGACTTTTCCCCATTTCTCGTTCTGTTTTCTGGGGCTAAGGAGAGTATGTCTCGTCTCTCTTCCATGCATGCAACATGGTAGTCTGGGAAGGAAGGTGCTAGCAGGAGGGGACATCAGGAAACAATGGCTGGCTTCTATACAGTGCTGTGGCACTTGCAAAGTACTTATTGTCTCAGTCGAAATGCTTCATGGAGAAGGCTATGCTTGAACTGAGTTTTGAAGGAAGTGAAGGAAGTCTAGACCAGTATCTTTGGTATTAACTTCTTACTATCAGTATGTCTAGGCCTGGGGTTCTTAACCTAGGGTCCGTGAAATTCAGTATAATTTGGATTGCTTTGTAATTTTACTTATTTTAATGTACCTCGGGACTATAACTGACCCCCTTCCTCTTCCTCCTATAGTCTGAATATCATTGTGTCTGAAGTTTCAGCGACCTCCCTAAGTGCAGCCATGCTTGTCCCTTCTCTTAGTTATCTTTGACTGCCCTTGACCACTTCTGGTCATCTTATCTGAAACTTTCTGCTCTCTCTTTTGTGTGAGTTCAGAAATGTCCTTGACAAGGCCTACTGTTTTTAGCATCACTGGCTAGTCTGCCTCATCTGTAAAAGTGGGCTGGACTTCAATTTTCACCAATGTAAGCTACAGAAATGACCAAAGGAAGAGTTCAATAGCTTCCTTCACAGCAATGTTATTTCTGTGAAGATGGCTTTTATTCTGACCCGTCTGCTCTAAGACAATTTTTTTTGGGGTGTACGAATGATCTGAGGGCTCATAAAAAAAAGAGAAGATTGTCATAAGAAAGAATAAAAGTATTTCCAAAGGTCCTGAATCCAAATTACTTCTCATGATATTAATTTTTTGTTGTTGTTTTAAATAAAATAAATATAAATATTTATATGTAATTATATAAAAATTACATTTAAAATTTATAATAAATAATATATAATGAAAATAAATAATATAAGAAATAAATAAAATAATTTAAACCCATCCTATTTTAGACTTATATAGAATCACAGAATATTGGAATTGGAAGGAACCATAGTGGTTATTCATTTCTCTTTTGTGCTTGATGTATAAATATTCTCTTCTATGCCCTCACACCTCTACTTGAACATTTTCAGTGAAAGCTTGGGGAGTTATTCCATCTTTAGATGGCCAGTCTTTGTCTGTCTATTGAGTTGAAATTTGTCTCCCTAAAACTCCCATCGATTGATACTCCTTTGCTACTCTCATAGAAGGAGTGTCAATATTTTATCTAGAATTTGTTTGTCAGCTTCACTTGATATATTTATATCTATGGATAGAGACAAGACTCCTAGGTACCTCAGGCTTTTGGACCCTTCCTTGTGTGGGAATTGTCCGTGGATTTTGTGTCCTCTTGTTTTCTTGGTCAGCAGCATCATATTCTGTTCTTTTTGAAGGATCATTTCATCTTCTGTTGTTGCCACTGATTACAGTCCAATGTCCTGGGACTTGGCATTCTTTTATCCTCAAATGTGTGATGAACAAATTGAAACAAAGGAGATGAAAGCTCATTTCTAATCCGGTCATTTTCATTGGGGGCTCAGTGAAAATTCTGAGGAGGGAAAGACGAAGGTCTTTTTTTCAAAAGACAAGCAACTTTTACACACTAATTGTTACCTTAATTTGACCTTTGATGTCGATGAACGTTCTGTGTTTAGTAAGAATGAATGAAATCAAGGTGTCCATTTTGAGTAAGTGGAAGCCTGGAGAGCAAGTCGGAAGTGGCTAAAGTGATCCAAGCATAAGACTCTGGAAGCCAGGGATTTGGGTGGGGCTGCAAAAAAGGGGGAGGCCACAATCTGAGAAACTGTGCTGAGAAATTTGGCAGGATGTCGTGATGGATTGGATTTGAGAATATAGGACAAAGAAGGATTAAAAATAACTTTGCCCTAAAATACTTGCTAGGCATCATGTAAATATATAATATGTACAGAGAGGGTTTTTATTTCTTCCCATAGCTTTTCCCCCATTTTATCTGCATTGCTAAGGACAATAAAAATGAAGGGAAAAAAACAGAACAAAAACAAGAATAATTTCAATGACTAAATAATGAATCATAGGGAGTGGCGATGTCTTACACAATAGAATTTAAGCAATGATAGAAGAACAAAAGTGAATGTGGCATTAAAAAATACAATTTCTTGTTTTTTGTTCATTTCCTCAGGGTCATGGGAAGGGCTCAATGAATAATTTTTTTCTTTGCTCTTATCTGGTTTGCTGCATAATTAGTTTTCATTTAAGATTAAAAGGTTACTTTTATACAACTTTTCTGATGGAATTTCAAGATTTCCTTAAAAAAAAAACAAATCAAAGACATCATTGCTTTCTATAGGGCTTGATATTTAAAAAAAAAAGAAAGAAAATTATTTATGGATTCATTTTGGTAAACCTTTGTTACATCTCTTTCCCACTATTGCTGCACCCCCCCAACTGACCATTTACAGCAAATAAAACATTGAAATACATGCTTACACACACACACACCCTCCAAAATAAAATAAAAATCCTCATTACAAATATGCATAGTCCAGTAAAACCAGTTCCCACATTGGCCATTCCAAAAAGTACATCTCATTCTGCATTTTAAAACCATCACCTCTCCAGTAGGAGGAGGTAGGGGTGGCATGTTTCATCCTGAGACTTCTACACTTGTATTTTATCTCACATTAATCCGAATTCTAGTCTTTTCAAATTGTTTTCTTTATGATGTCATTGTAGAAGTTGTTCCCCTAGTTCTGCTCACTTTGCTCTGGTCCGTTGATGCTGGACATCTGATCATGTCTTAAACACAATAATATTCCCCTTCCATGCATATCTGTAATTTTTTTTAGCCACTGTACAGCTTAGGTTTTGTTTTGTTTTGTTTTAATGACAAGAAAAGTTCCTTTGATGTAGGCCATGTGGTATGATGGAAAAAGCATTAAATTTGGATTTGTGGGACCTTAGTTCAAATTTCTGTTTTACCATTTACTCCCTGTATGTTATTGGGCAAGTCATTTAACCACTCTGGACCTCAATTTCCTCATCTGAAGGAATTAGACTGGATGACCTTTAAAGTCCCTTCTAGTCAGAGGTATGTGATTCTGTGGTCCTATTTGAGGGGGATATAGTATAGTGGAAAGAATACTGGACCCAGGGTCAGGAGTCTTGGGTTTAAATCCCAGCTGAGATGTTCTCTATCTGGGTGACCTTGAGTATATCACTTGGCTTCAGTCTCCTCATCTCTGAAACTGTCATAAGAATGCTTGTAGTGCCAGCTGCAGACCTTTTGGGGGTTGGAGGTGGGGAAGTGGAGAAGACCTTAGTAATCCTTAAAGCACCAAATATTGCTTTGAGACAGAGATCCTTTTGCCTTGGACATTCCTAACAGCTTTAATATGCTATCAACAAGTGCTTTAACCATGGAATGCATGGTGAGAGAGCTGGGAATGCTCCATTTGTTTGCTTAGTGTTTGCTGAGCTTCCTCGTTTATTTTGGATTTTGTCCCCATTCTGGTTTGGGTCATTATAAGCTAACAGCTGAACAAATGCTAGCAGCTCAGTTTCCTCATCCATAAAATGAGGTGAGTTGGTTTATGTATGGCCTCTAAGGTCTCTTCCAGCTCTAAATCCAATAACTTATGATCCTAGGATCTCTACCATGATTTGTACAATTTATTTGGTCTAGGAATACGGGGGAGAAAGGGTGAGTCAGTCTTACTTCTAAAGCCCTCTGAGAATTGAGGCTGTAAAAGGAAGTCTGGCTGTCTATTAAAAGCCTTAAGGAATACTTTTCCTTGTAGACCTGTGATCGTCCATGCTGCTACTGAATTCTGGGGTTCCTCAAGTTTTTATGCCTATGGTCATGGAGAGTGCCTGGAAAAGGATTTGTATCTGGCGTAGTTTATTGTTGGATGCCATTCTTTTTGCCCTTGTCTCTTAGTGGGACAGCCAACATGACATGAGGTACCAGACTAGCTGCAGTTTATCCATCCATTGCTAGCATCCAACCTACTGAAGATCTCTTTCTTAGATGAGGTAGATCTTAGCGTACCACTCCTGAGGCAGCCCTATCCTCTCATGACTCACATGGTTTGTTTCTTGTCTTTGTTCTCAGGATCACACTGTGAATTGTACAAGGATCCCTGTGCTAACATCAGTTGCCTGAATGGTGGGACCTGTGACAGTGAAAGTCTGAATGGCACCTGTATCTGCTTACCTGGGTTTACAGGTAAGTAAATTTCCTATGGATTTTTTTTTTTTTTACTTTTTATTTATTTTAAATTTATGGAATAAAACAAACATTTCCATAACATGGCATAATGAAAAAAGAATATTATAATCGAAGACTTTGGGTTGCAAATGTCAAAGGAAGGAAAAAAGTACCCTGGCTACTTATTTTAGATTCTTACCATTGTGGGTTAATTTCAGTTGCTTGGATTCTCATCAATATATGTATAAAGGTCTAAATGGATGATTGAATCAGGAAGAGTCACTTAGGGAAACAGATTATGGCTTATTACAGGATGCCTTTTGTATAGTATGGTCCATGGGACCCATTTTCAGAGCATAGTGCAGACATAACTTGGAGAAATAATTGATTTGTACCAATTCCCAGAAGATGAAAATGACATTGGAAGTGGGAAGAAGAGGTGGGAGGTATCTAAAAATGGATGCTCCCAATTTCCAGAGAACTGCATAACTCTACCAATGTGTTTATTTAGAAAAAGTGAAAGTTGGGCAGATTTTTTTTCTGAAGGGGTACAAGAACATGCTTTGACCAAGAAAAGTGGAGAGCAAACATTCCTGGTGGAGGATGTGGTATTAATGATGGCATCAGTAGTCTGGGGTGGAGGAAAGATGGAATGGCTGGTGGATAGCGTGGGATGTAGAGCTGGAAGGGCCATCAGACATCATCAGTCCTCTCACTTGACTGATGGGAAAACTTGAGGCCTAGACAGGGGACTTTGGAAGGAAATTAATGAGCTGCCAAGTGTCCAGAGAAAGACAGACAAGGTAGTGAAGGGCTTTGAGTCCCTACCATATAAGAATTGGTTCAAGAAACTGGGATGGTTAGTCTGAGAAAGACTGAGGGTGGGATACAACAGCTGTCTTTAGTTAATTGAAGGGTAAGCAAGTAGAGAGAGGGATTACACTTTTCCTAGTTTGGGCCCAGAAAGAAGAGCTAAGAACAAAGGGTGAAAGTTTCAAAGAGGCATACCTACAGTGGATGTCATGAAAAACTTCACAACAACTAAAGTTGCCCCAGCAGAATGGGCTGCCTCAGGAAGCCATGAGGACCTCATTAGAGGTCTTTAAGCAGAGATGCTGGAGGACCACAGATCAGGGCTGTTTTAACGGGGATTCTTCTTCACATGAGAGGGAAGCTCCTTGGTCTCTGAGGTTCCTTCCAATTAATCAATCAGTAAACATTTATTAAGTGCCTACTATGTGCCCAGCACTATACTAAGCACTGGAGATATAAAAAAGAAGCAAAAAACAGTCCCTGTCCTCAAAGAGCTTACAATCTAATAGAGAAGATAATGCCAACAATATACAATGCTAGCAATATATGGGATAAATAGGAAATAATTAGCAGAGGGAAGGCACTAGAATTGAGAGGGGTTGGGGGGAAGGCTTTCAGTGAAAAATGAGTTTTCATTGTAAATTAAAAGGAGTCAGGTAGGTCAGTAAGTTGAATGGAGGAGGTAGGACATTCCAGGTGTGGGGGACAGTTACAGCCTGATTCATCCAAGCCTGTGAAGACAGTAAATGCCAGAGCTGCAATTGGAACTAGGTCTTTTTTTTTTTTAAGCACCAAACTCTGAATGGCAAAGTGGATATAGTGTTGGTGGCAGGAAGACCTGGGTTCAAATCCTGCCTCTGACACTAATTATCTGTATGATCATGGGCATACTTAACCTCTTGGGGTTCATTTTCTGATCTATGAAATGAGGGGGGTGGATTCAATGGCTTCTAGGTTCCCTTCCAGCTCTAACGCTATAATTCTAGGATGCTTTCCACTACCCTCTGCCTAACCAGAGGGGAAGTTATGCCTAAGGATGAAGGCAATTCACAGAGGAATATGGAGAAGAATAGTTTTCTGTTTCATACTTTTACATTCAAATAACCTGGAGTCAGGACTGTGCGGAATGGGCCTTGGCTATTCCAAGTTTTGAGCATCAGGGAGAGAGGGTCGGGGACGGGTGAGGGGCACTCATGACATTCCTTTTTCCTGTTATATAAATAAGCCTACAATGGACCAGATTCTTGAGCACAGTGTAGGGTCTGTATTTTCAGAGTTTGCTCTGGAAATGTATGGTGGGGATTAATTAAGTTTACAAGTTGGGGAATTTTAGGGAGAAATTCCTATTTTTACCAACAAATCAGAGGCCAATAAAAGTGCCAATTCAGCAATTCAGCATATGTGAAAACTGTTGTTAATGTGCTGACAATATCACCCACTGGCGTGCTCACTAACCTACAAATCTCTGAGAGTCACATTGACAGAACAGTTCCTACTGGAGAATTTGTGTATGTGTGTATGTGTGTGATGTATGTGTGTGTGCATGCCCACACATGAACATATGTGAACTGCTGCGCATGTTTTTCTCCTCATCCCAATTCCAGTGGAGCCATCTCTGTGCAAGGAAAAGAGTCACTACCTTCTCTATATATCATTGCAAGGATTCCTTTTACTGATTCATTTCAGTTCATTTGAATTCAACATACAGTCATTTAATGCCAGTGTTGATATTACAAGGGACCAGGAAAGGATTCTTGTGGGATTTTAACTAAACCTTGAAGGAGGTCAGAAAATCCAGGAGGCAGAGATAAGGAATGAGAGCTTTACAGGCATAGAGGGACAAGCAAGGGAAAATGCCTGGAGTCTGGAAATAGAGAGTCTTGTATGAAGAACTGCAAGGAGGCCAGCGTCACTGGATTGCAGAGTTCATGGAGGAGGGTAAGGTATGATTTGAAAAGTAGAAGGAGACCGGGTTATGAAAGATTTTAAATGCCAAACAGAGGAATATATAGTTAATCCTAGAGATTCTGCAGGAAGCCTTCCCTAAACCCTCTTAATTCTAGTGTCTCCCCTCTTTTAATGATTTCCTATTTATCTTGAATATAACTTGCTTTGTGTATATTTGTTTATATGTTGTCTCTCTCCCCTCCCCCCATTAAATTGTAAGCTCCCTGACAGCAGGGACTGTCTTTTGCCTCTTCTAGTATCCTCAGTGATTAGCACAGTGCCTGATACACAGTAGATGCTTACTAAATGTTTAGCGATTGATGAATTAATTGGGTTTTTGACAACAGTGACCTGATTAGTTTTGCTCTGATAGCTGAATGGAGGATAAACTAGACAGGAGAGAGACTCGAGGCAGGGAAACCAATGAGGAAGCAATTGCAATAGGTCAGCTGTGAAGTAATGAAATCATTCCTTTGGAATTTCTTACCACATGATAGTATTCCATGACATCCATATTCCACAGTTTGTTCAGCTATTCCATTATTGATGGACACCTCTTTAGTTAGTTTCCAGTTCATAAAATTTTAGACTACGTTGAAGGGCATGTTGTTCGGACCAAGTTGATAAGAATCATATTCAACTCTGCCCTGGTCCTAACACATCTGGAGTAGTGTTATGTTCATTTCAAAGGGTTACCTTTTAAGAAGGACATTGATATGCTGGAGAGCATCCAAAAGAGGGCAACAAGATGGTGGAAGACCTTAAGATCATGCCACAGGAGGATTGGTTGGAAAAAAAAAAGACTGTTTTGGTCCTCAGAAGACATTTCTTTGGGGGTGGGGTGGAGTGAGATGGGATAGAATAGCTGTCTTCAAGTTTGAAGGGCTGTCATATAGAAGAGGAATTGGGCTTCCTTTCCTTGGCTTCAGAGGGCCAAACTACCAATAATATATGGAAATTGTAGTCAGACAGGTTGAAGGAATAAGGAAAAAATATGCCAATGATTAGAGCTATTCATGGTGTATTGGGATGCCTGGAGATCATGGGTTCCCCCTCATTGATGGTCTTCAAGCCCAGGCTGGTTGGCCAGTCATTGGTTATGTTGTAGGAGGCATTCTCAGATCCAGGTTGGACTGAGTGGTCTCAGTGGCCTCTGGGATCCTTTTTATCTGAAGCTCTGTTATCCTGTGATGCTTGGGGCTTGAAACAGAAAATTCTAAATAACAAATCTATTTCCTTCCATGAGCACCTGAAAATCTGGAACATCATGTCCTTTGCCATACAATCATCCTATCTAGAGAACCATTTCCAGCATTTACACATGCTGGATTTTTTATTTACTCCAACAGTACTTGGTACTTCATTGCTCTCTCTTTTCTTTCTTCAGTGATTATATTCATAATCAATCTCTGTGCTTTTACTGGCTTGATGTAGCAGATTTTTATTCATTTATTTATTTTTTACTTCTACCTCCTTTTTGATGATGATGTTGAGAAGAAAAATCAATTCCCTTTAAATCACTGTTCTGCTCTAATAACATTTGTGAGTGGAATGAAAAATGAAATTGCCATTTGACTTGCTCCGGGAAAGAGGGGTGGCCAGAGCCTGGAAACCTTCATCAAGTCTTCTTAAGGCATTGTTCTCAATGAATCAAACCTAATTTGCTAGTTTTCATCTAAGGTGTACAAGTGCACAGATCAGTCCTGCAACCTTTCCTCCCATGGATGATAAAATGGTGCTGCTGCAATAGCCAGAGCACCAAAGTGCCCAGTAAGTCTTTAGATGATAAGCTCAATTGAATCATGAACTCCCGGAAGGCTGTGACTATATCCCTTTTCATTTTTCTACCCTAAGTTATGTTCATAGGGTTTTGCATAGCCTAGGCTATTAACAATTGTTGGATTGAATTCTTCTGCATTTAGTATAGACATGCATATGTTGCTATAAGAAGATTGCTATATAATTGCTATAAGAAAAATGCCATGAAAGCTTCTAAGAGGGGTGTCACTTCCAGCTCAGGGACAATCTCAGAGACTGCAGGATTATTCCTTCTCTCGAACCCTCTTCATTCTGATGTTCACACCACCTATCAGCTCTTTAGGAGACATAGCATTAACAGTCTTTTTTTTTGTAAGATAATAAAATTAGATTGGAGGCAGCCACAGAATAGTGGGTAGCTCCCTGTTGGTATCCACTACCTGGGTAGAGCTGGCCTTAGAGACTGGATGACCCATGTTCAAGCCCTACCTCTGATGTGT